CATTCACACACTCGCAGCCAGCAGCCTGGTTTCTGTTAAATGTGTTTACATCTGAGATTAAATCTGCCCACTCTGAGGCCTGGAGGCCAACACAAACACACAGATTGGCAGACACACCCAGCACACACACACAGATAACAACCAGCACACACACACACACACACAGATAACACACACTCTTGTGTCAGCACACTGAGGGTTTCTGGGTGAACTCTGCACACGTTTGTCTGTTAACCTTTTGTTTTATGGCCCCTCCACTGGCACTAGTGGGAATGTTCTGGTGAAGATAATGTGACCCAGTAGAGCTGAAGGAACCAGGTCCAAACACAACAAACCCATGTTAACTGCCGGATGCAGCCGACACACACACACACACACACACACACACACAGGGATCTTCACCTTTCCCAGGTTTATAATGAGGAACAACTGTTTAAGCTCATTAATCAAATCTTACAAAAGCTACACGACGCTCCATTTTCCTTCATGTATTACTCTTGAGAGCGCTGCAGGGATGTCGTACTTCTCTGCTGGTCCCTGAAGGCAGCATCTCCCTGGTCCAATGGGATTTATACATGTGATTTGGGATTATTGGAATAAATAAAGGAACTACAGCACGGTCACATGACTTCACGTCTCCACCGCTAAGCTAAAGGCGGCTAATGTTGGGCTATAAAGGAACTACAGCACGGTCACATGACTTCACGTCTCCACCGCTAAGCTAAAGGCGGCTAATGTTGGGCTATAAAGGAACTACAGCACGGTCACATGACTTCACGTCACCACCACTAAGCTAAAGGCGGCTAATGTTGGGCTATAAAGGAACTACAGCACGGTCACATGACTTCACGTCTCCACCGCTAAGCTAAAGGCGGCTAATGTTGGGCTATAAAGGAACTACAGCACGGTAACATGACTTCACGTCACCACCGCTAAGCTAAAGGTGGCTAATGTTGGGCTATAAAGGAACTACAGCACGGTCACATGACTTCACGTCACCACCGCTAAGCTAAAGGAGGCTAATGTTGGGCTATAAAGGAACTACAGCACGGTCACATGACTTCACGTCACCACCGCTAAGCTAAAGGAGGCTAATGTTGGGCTATAAAGGAACTACAGCACGGTCACATGACTTCACGTCACCACCGCTAAGCTAAAGGAGGCTAATGTTGGGCTATAAAGGAACTACAGCACGGTCACATGACTTCACGTCACCACCGCTAAGCTAAAGGAGGCTAATGTTGGGCTATAAAGGAACTACAGCACGGTCACATGACTTCACGTCACCACCGCTAAGCTAAAGGAGGCTAATGTTGGGCTATAAAGGAACTACAGCACGGTCACATGACTTCACGTCACCACCGCTAAGCTAAAGGTGGCTAATGTTGGGCTATAAAGGAACTACAGCACGGTCACATGACTTCACGTCACCACCGCTAAGCTAAAGGTGGCTAATGTTGGGCTATAAAGGAACTACAGCACGGTCACATGACTTCACGTCACCACCGCTAAGCTAAAGGCGGCTAATGTTGGGCTATAAAGGAGCTACAGCATGGTCACATGACTTCACGTCACCACCGCTAAGCTAAAGGAGGCTAATGTTGGGCTATAAAGGAACTACAGCACGGTCACATGACTTCACGTCACCACCGCTAAGCTAAAGGAGGCTAATGTTGGGCTATAAAGGAACTACAGCACGGTCACATGACTTCACGTCACCACCGCTAAGCTAAAGGAGGCTAATGTTGGGCTATAAAGGAACTACAGCACGGTCACATGACTTCACGTCACCACCGCTAAGCTAAAGGTGGCTAATGTTGGGCTATAAAGGAACTACAGCACGGTCACATGACTTCACGTCACCACCGCTAAGCTAAAGGAGGCTAATGTTGGGCTATAAAGGAACTACAGCACGGTCACATGACTTCACGTCACCACCGCTAAGCTCAAGGAGGCTAATGTTGGGCTATAAAGGAACTACAGCACGGTCACATGACTTCACGTCACCACCGCTAAGCTCAAGGAGGCTAATGTTGGGCTATAAAGGAACTACAGCATGGTCACATGACTTCACGTCACCACCGCTAAGCTAAAGGTGGCTAATGTTGGGCTATAAAGGAGCTACAGCATGGTCACATGACTTCACGTCACCACCGCTAAGCTAAAGGAGGCTAATGTTGGGCTATAAAGGAACTACAGCACGGTCACATGACTTCACGTCACCACCGCTAAGCTAAAGGTGGCTAATGTTGGGCTATAAAGGAACTACAGCACGGTCACATGACTTCACGTCACCACCGCTAAGCTAAAGGCGGCTAATGTTGGGCTATAAAGGAGCTACAGCATGGTCACATGACTTCACGTCACCACCGCTAAGCTAAAGGTGGCTAATGTTGGGCTATAAAGGAACTACAGCACGGTCACATGACTTCACGTCACCACCGCTAAGCTAAAGGAGGCTAACGTTGGGCGTGATGACGTTTAGTCGTCACATTCAGGCTAACAATCAAAAAACACATTCGGAAAACCCTTGACCTCCAGACCAGGGGACAGGAAGTGGTGAAATCTCTGGGTGTTTCTCAATCGCGAGTACGCTTGCTTGGTAGCACATGTCTGCCGAGCATCTTGCTTCAGAAGCGAGGCAAGAATACTTCCTGGCATTCGGAAAACGAAGTGTAGAACACGCTAGCAAGTGTGCAGGTGTGCGTCATATGAGAGGCCCCGCCTCCTTACATCTTCCGCCACAGATTTGGGGAAATTGGTCCGTGCGCAAAGCATTGTGGGGATTTTAAGACCGCGAAGTCTACACATGTGCAGCCTCGATATTTCTCCAAACGGAGTACGCCGGGCTCGGTAGATTTCCAAGTATGCTGGAGATTGGAACAGTCCTTCGGCGGCACTCGATGACGTAGTATGCTTGAAATATTGGCTCTGAAGCAGCTTTACTCGACATTGAGAAACACCCCCTGTGTCTTTCTGAAGACTGTGAGAGGAGGATAAATAACAATGGACTCACTCTTCCAGGAAGTTCTGCTGAGGTCCAATCACAGAGCCGGGTCTGCAGACCCGGATCCAGGCGATGGCCTCAGCTGCTGTGAAGCGGTAATGCTTCATCAGGTAACAGCCAATCAGACTGCCCGTCCTGCCCAGACCAGCTGACAGGAAGAGAGAGAGAGAGATGTAATGTCAGACTAATAATAACAAACATTATATATATCTTATTAAGAGTAGTGGATCTTGATCAGCAGACAGAGGCACTGAGGGGACAGACTGCTCTCATGAGCTGGTTTCCAACATGTACGCAGTGTGGGGAAAATGTATGAAAACATGATAGACTTTCAACTCATGGTGTTTTTACTGGATTTTATAAATACAGAACAACTACATTGCGATAAATAAATAATAAATAAAACGGATAAATTCATAAAATATCAATAAAATCTGAATAAATAACAGGTAAATGTAAAAGGTACAGATGGTACATATTCTGTTTACATGTATAAAGACTTCTTGCACTCTTTGTATTTTATTATACATGTTGCATCGTTGGAGCGGCTCGGGTTATATGATTTCTACCCTGTAGCTCATGACATTAAAGCCTTTGCATTTAGTGGTCCTCACCCTTGCAGTGGACGGCCACGGCGCCCTCCGTGCTCTCGCAGACGTGCAGGAAGCGGCGCGTGATGGCGTCGCTTGGCGTGCTGCCGTCTAAGAAGAACAGGTCGAAGTGATCGAAGCCGGCGTCCGTGAAGCGCTTGGAGTCGTAGATCTTCTTGTTCAGACGCACCACCGTGGTCACGTTGTTCTTCCTGAAGTACGGGAAGTACGCCTCGGGGGCGTGGAGAGGGTAACCTGCAGGGGGCGGAGCAACAACAGGGTTACACAGGAACAGAAAACACAATAACAACAACAGTCAAAAGTAACAACTGCAGGGGGAACACAATAGCAACAACAGGAACAATAACAGTAACAGCAGCAACAATAGTAACAAACCAACAATAAAGGGGGTTACAGAGGAACAACTTAGGGCTGTGCAATTAATCGTATTTTAATCTCGATTACGATTTTGGCTTGCAACGATTACAAAAACTTTTTTTTTTTTTCTGTGTGTGTTTTCAGTTTAATTATACTTAAAGGGGACCTATCATGCAAAATGCACTTTTGTACGTCTTTTCTACATGAATATGTGTCCCCGGTGTTCCAGGGAACTCACCAAGTGTCAGAAAACACAACCCTCTCTATTTTCCTCCATACACAAATCTCTAAAAAAGGGGCTGCAACGGATCTGATAAAAACTGATCCAGATTTGAACACTGTCCTGACGTCAGGACGGTGGCGCTACGGCTATTGGGCCAACTCCACCAATCAGGAGGAGACAGCCACGGCCATTGCCGTTCCAAAGCGCTGGAGACGCTGTAGTACATATGCCAGGCCTGTAGGTGGTGCTGTTCTCACAGAATCTGCCCTTGCAAAAACAGAGCTAGAAATTGTCAATTTGAGCAAAATGAGGCATGGCTAAAATGCATGATCTGTTTGGTATTTTTTTTTTTTTAAAGTATAAATATGCCTTATATAGGTATGGCCCTATACTATATTATTCAAATATAGCATGATAGGTCGACTTTAAAGTTCAGGGTAATCAACTGTTCAAATTATTATTTTCAATAAATGACTGTTTTCAAAGTAAATGGATAATCGTTTTTAATAATCGTGATATCAATTATTGACCAAAAATAATCGTGATTATGATTTTTGCCATAATTGAGCAGCCCTAGAACAACTACAGTAGGAACCACAACAGCTTCAACACCAGCAACAACAACAACAGAAACAGTAACATCACCAGCAACAACAACAGGAACAACAACAAGAATAGCAACAACAGAAAGAACAACAACAGCAACAACAGGAACAGTAGGAAATATCAATAGCAGCAACGACATGGCCGTTTCATTCCGTAGAAACCTGCAGTCAAATCCTGAGTGTTATTTTATAATCTCTTCTGACTAAAGATGACGTTCCCTTCCTGCTGAAGCTCCTCCTCTCCTAACCCTAACCTCTGAAGTTATTTTGAGTGATGCTCCACCCTCTTCAGACGTTCCTCCTCACCTGAAATCTCTCAACCCGTTCAGTTTCTGCGTGCACACGGCCCTGCAGTCTCATGAACTTTAATGTGGCGGGAGTTAAACCTGATAATTAAGACACACCTGCCCTCAATGAACGAAGACAAAGGGACTCAAGAGGGAGGGAACACGCCATGAATCTGACGTGGAACACATTGAGGCCCAGTGTTAGTATCCTCTGATCCCGTTTCAGGTCCTTGAACTCACCGTTCTCTATTTTGCTTTTCGGATGCGGGCCGCTGAAGGCCAGGAACTTCCCCGGGACGATCCAGTTCAGATCTCCGTTCTCCACCCGCTGCAGAGACACAGACACAGGGTCAAGACCAACAGAGAGGCAACTGGACTTATAACATTCACACTGTACATGTATTATTTATATTTAATTGAATATCCCAAAACACACCTTTAGACGTCACCTAACACATTTAGCTATGGCACTGTCGTATACATTGAATTATTCAATTTGATAATATGTAATCAACTTAGGCATCCGTCCCAAAAAAAAAAATAATAACAATAATTAATTAAAATATTCATAACTCATATTCGAATACCTGAATCATTTCGAATATTCGATTAATCGTTCCCATCCCTACTACATAGAGCGGTGCAGGAACGAGTCCTAAAAGAAGTGAGTCAGCATTTCACCACTTCCTGTTCCCTCCTCTCAGAGCCAACGGTTTTTTGAACATGTTTTTGGAAAGTATCTGGAAATAAGGTCTGTTGCTCTATTGGCCCTTCAATAGTGTTTTTATTGGTCAGACAGTTTATAGATTTGTATCTTCACGGTCATCTGTTTATTTCTCTCACTCTGTAACGCTGCTTTATTTCTATTTCTATTTTGAGATGTTTATATTTTAGTATTGTTTATTTCTACTCTTTTAATTAGTTATTTTGTGCAATGCCTTGTTTTGTTTTACGCTGCAACAACAACGTTTTCCAAATTGGGATTAATAAAGTTAATCTCATTTGAAATTAGATTTAATTTACTTTATTGATCTTAATTTGGGCAAGTGATTTTACGTAGTGAGTTACAAATCAAATAGAAAATGTACCCTGAATGAATAAGAGAGAAACAAAGTGATAAATGATTAGTTAATGATACATACAAAATAATACAAATTAAATTAAAGATATAAAACTAAGACAAAAAAAAGGTTTAAATAATAAGTTAAAGGGGACCTATCATGCAAAATGCACTTTTGTACGTCTTTTCTACATGAATATGTGTCCCCGGTGTTCCAGGGAACTCACCAAGTGTCAGAAAACACAACCCTCTCTATTTTCCTCCATACCCAAATCTCTAAAAAAGGGGCTGCAACGGATCTGATAAAAACTGATCCAGATTTGAACACTGTCCTGACGTCAGGACGGTGGCGCTACGGCTATTGGGCCAACTCCACCAATCAGGAGGAGACAGCCACGGCCATTGCCGTTCGAAAGCGCTGGAGACGCTGTAGTACATATGCCAGGCCTGTAGATGGTGCTGTTCTCACTGAATCTGCCCTTGCAAAAACAGAGCTAGAAATTGTCAAATTGAGCAAAATGAGGCATGGCTAAAATGCATGATCTGTTTGGTATTTTGAAAAGAAAAAAGTATGAATATGCCTTATACAGGTATGGTCCTACACTATATTATTATAATATAGCATGATAGGTCCACTTTAACTAAATGTATATACAAAAGAGAGCCACAGTGACGCGTCCTAAAACCCGGAAGGAAGCTTCTTCCGGTTCCCTCGTCAAAAAAGCAATGCCGTTTCTCCATAGGGTTTAGAGAGATAGCTGGAAATCAGGTCTGTGGTTGAGACGCATTTAAGAGACAGATCATGTTTTGTTCAGTCGGATAATCTCCACATGTCTACCCTACTTTTATAATGTTCTAATCATAAATCTAACCGATAGATTTATGATCGATAGATCTGAACAAAACATGATCCGTCTCTTAAAGGTGGGGTAGGTACGTTTGAGAAACCGGCTCGAGATCGCTAGAATTTGAAAATACACAACCGGAGAAAATCTGCCACTTCCTCACAGAGCCCCTCCTCCAACACACACGAACGCGCACATGACCAATGAGGGCACGAGATAAGTGTGTGCACAGATGGAAGGCTGACAGGCAGGTAGGCCATCCAGTTATTTTAGCCGGGCCGGCTCAGATGATTGGTCGTGCTTTTTACAGTACTACAGCTTCCACAGATGATATTTATTAATGGATTTGTTGTCAAAGCACTTCAGATATTCATTGCTATCGGGATGTTAAGAGCATTCCATGGAATATAACAACAAGTGTATCTCGAGCCGGTTTCTCAAACTTACCTACCCCACCTTTAAATGCGTCTCAACCACAGACCTGATTTCCAGCTATCTCTCTAAACCCTATGGAGAAACTGCATTGCTTTTTTGTCAAGGGAACCGGAAGACGCTTCCTTCCGGGTTTTAGGACGCGTCACTGTGGCTCTCTATTATAGATTAACTTTAATAATCGTAATTTGGCTAGTGATTTTGTTAAAGCAGCATTTACACAAGGCATTGCACATGAGCTAAAAGCAAACAATAACAGAGACAAAGGTGAGTCTTTCTGCACTAAAATGTGACCTCTGATCTTTCACTATTTAGGAGGAGAGATGATCTAATATGTGTTTTAGCCTGACTCCCCTGAATGTTTGGGTCTAGTGGTTCTGAGTCAGTCTGCTGTGACGTTCGTCCTAACAAAACCTCCTGAAAGGCTGCGCTGACCTTTTCACGTTTTTTCTTCTCACTAAATTATTTACGCAGCGCTGCAGGCTCCACTGTGTGCGCGTGGTTCACACAGAGCAGATGGTGCACGTGGTTCACGCAGAGCAGATGGTGCACGTGGTTCACGCAGAGCAGATGGTGCACGTGGTTCACGCAGAGCAGCTGGTGCACGTGGTTCACGCAGAGCAGATGGTGCACGTGGTTCACGCAGAGCAGATGGTGCACGTGGTTCACGCAGAGCAGCTGGTGCACGTGGTTCACGCAGAGCAGCTGGTGCACGTGGTTCACGCAGAGCAGATGGTGCACGTGGTTCACGCAGAGCAGCTGGTGCACGTGGTTCACGCAGAGCAGCTGGTGCACGTGGTTCACGCAGAGCAGCTGGTGCACGTGGTTCACGCAGAGCAGCTGGTGCACATGGTGCACGTGGTTCACGCAGAGCAGATGGTGCACGTGGTTCACGCAGAGCAGATGGTGCACGTGGTTCACGCAGAGCAGCCGGTGCACGTGGTTCACGCAGAGCAGCCGGTGCACGTGGTTCACGCAGAGCAGCCGGTGCACGTGGTTCACGCAGAGCAGATGGTGCACGTGGTTCACGCAGAGCAGATGGTGCACGTGGTTCACGCAGAGCAGATGGTGCACGTGGTTCACGCAGAGCAGATGGTGCACGTGGTTCACGCAGAGCAGCCGGTGCACGTGGTTCACGCAGAGCAGCCGGTGCACGTGGTTCACGCAGAGCAGCCGGTGCACGTGGTTCACGCAGAGCAGCCGGTGCACGTGGTTCACGCAGAGCAGCCGGTGCACGTGGTTCACGCAGAGCAGCCGGTGCGCGTGGTTCACGCAGAGCAGCCGGTGCGCGTGGTTCACGCAGAGCAGATGGTGCGCGTGGTTCACGCAGAGCAGATGGTGCGCGTGGTTCACGCAGAGCAGATGGTGCGCGTGGTTCACGCAGAGCAGCTGGTGCGCGTGGTTCACGCAGAGCAGCTGGTGCGCGTGGTTCACGCAGAGCAGCTGGTGCGCGTGGTTCACGCAGAGCAGCTGGTGCGCGTGGTTCACGCAGAGCAGCTGGTGCGCGTGGTTCACGCAGAGCAGCTGGTGCGCGTGGTTCACGCAGAGCAGCTGGTGCGCGTGGTTCACGCAGAGCAGCTGGTGCGCGTGGTTCACGCAGAGCAGCTGGTGCGCGTGGTTCACGCAGAGCAGATGGTGCGCGTGGTTCACGCAGAGCAGATGGTGCGCGTGGTTCACGCAGAGCAGATGGTGCGCGTGGTTCACGCAGAGCAGATGGTGCGCGTGGTTCACGCAGAGCAGCCGGTGCGCGTGGTTCACGCAGAGCAGCCGGTGCACGTGGTTCACGCAGAGCAGCCGGTGCACGTGGTTCACGCAGAGCAGCCGGTGCACGTGGTTCACGCAGAGCAGCCGGTGCACGTGGTTCACGCAGAGCAGCCGGTGCACGTGGTTCACGCAGAGCAGCCGGTGCACGTGGTTCACACAGAGCAGCTGGGGTATCAGTGCATTAACGTGATGTTTTTACCTCGTAGTGTTCGTACTCGTCCACGTCGAAGGTCTCAAAGTCGAAGAAGCCGTGCTGCAGAGCCTGAAACAACAGAGACATGATTCATTTAGCATTTTATTGGCAAAAGATAACTTACAAAACTTCCAATTGATATTAGCGGCTTATATGTGACAGAGTTATGGGTTACAAACACATGTGACCTGCTCCATCGAAATCAGTCGCATTGACCCGAAGACACATTTTGAGTTGTATACGCTGCTGGAAAGAGGAGATTCATAGCTTCCTAATGATATCAGGATTGTTGTTGTTCTCCAAATATTAAGCAAAATATGTCACATGATATAATGACTGTCACCGAGTCATCATGTTGAGAAAAAGGCCTTCAAAGTTTCCTCTTCTCTGGAATCCATCGATCTGATTGGTTATTAGCAAATGATGAAAGTACTACGGAGGGAAGATATTTTCGTTTGGATTACTGCTCTGGGGGAAGCTTGCGAGTGTGTGTGTGTATGTGTGTGTGTGTGTATACGTGTGTGTGTGTGTATACGTGTGTGTGTGTGTGTATTTTTGCATTTGTGTGTATTGTGTTTGTTTCCCGGGGAAAACACTCAGGAGAAACACCGGCTGTTGTTACGCCTGCTGTGACGTCAAGTTACTCCGTTCTCCGCTTGTAATTATGTCTACAAGCTTCTAAGTTGTATTTATCATCTGAATGAAACAAGTTTAATATTCTGAAAGCCAAGACTTTGTTTATCTGAAATCAGATGAAAACAAACTGTAACGGACCCTGCCGTGTTATATATGATCACTACGCCTTACATTCATAATGTCAGCGGAGGGAGGGGGGGCGGCGTGTGGAACAGCAGAGTGAGAGCTGTCATCTTCCCTTCACAAGCTTCAATGTATTTATCTTGTGATTTTGGAAATAAAAGTTTCATATTCTGAAAGCCAAGACTTTGTTTATTTAAAATCAAACGAAACACCCGAACCCCGAAAAACTAGTTTTTTAGGCAAATCCACGTTTATTTTGAAACGAGCCGTTGAGACTTCGACTGATTTCCATAGAGCGGGTCACTTATATAAAGAGCATATCATTATTTATATAAATCATAATAGGTCAGAGGTGTCAGAGGGAAACGCTCTATAGTTTTATAGATACAAGTTCACAAATGTTGTTAAAATAAAATGATTGGAAATTAGGGATTGTAATAAACTCCAACTCAACGAGTAAGAGTGAACGGGTGTCTCTGCATTCAACCCATCTATTGAAGCGTTAGGAACACCGGAGGAGTTAGATCCACGAGAAAAGGTGAACACTTTAGATTCTCACATTTCTATATTTTAGGTTAAAGTTGGAAATGTACAATGTTAGCCTAATTTAAAATACTTATAAGCCCTTCTGCAGTTAATACTTAAAGTGTGAGATCATACAGGTGACACTTGATGATGTCAGCTAGGGCTGCACGATATATCATGTCGTGACGAATATCGCGATATTCGCATCGCAGGACATGCGATGTGCGATATTAAGTAGGCAAATGAACTCAAACACGTCATGTTACAATTATTTTTGCTGCTTGCTACAAAAGGAAAACTCACGCGGCTCTCATGTCAGGGGAACTTGAGTGAGTGAGGGCTCTGCATGCACAGCAAACCACCAATCACAATCATTCTTGATCAGATCACAGCAGGGTAACCAAGCTAGCTCAGCTTGTTGCTCTGATAACTTAACATCCAGACGTCCGTGACTAAAATCCTTCATCCGGTTAAATAAATACCAATTGTATCGCATTGAAGTTCAAGAAAGGACGGTTTGCGGACAAAAAAAAAACGGTCTTTTGTCAATTCCTGTATTTTTTCATATCGCAGGGGAAGGAAATATCACAATGTCAGTTTTGTCCAATATCGTGCAGCCTAATGTCAGCATCCATGCAGCCAATCACAGCTCACCTTCCTGATGCCCTGCAGACAGTCCAGCACTGTGAGGTTGAAGGTGCAATTCCCAAAGGACGCGTCCCTGCAGAGAATCACAGCAGACAAAGGATCAATACAAATCTGTGTTATAATAAATAATAATCCTACATAACATACATACTTTGACTATCATGTTTGTAAATATGCATCACAGACATAAACAAATATATATTACTCTATCAATTAAATAATTGTTTTGTATATGAGAATTTCCTAGACTTGAAACACAGTCAAAGCAAGAGAATCATGACTTTAAGTCATATTTCTGTAGTTTTAGTTCAGTAAAATCCTGACTCAAGACACCAGTCATTATTCTGGCTGTCAGTGAACGCCTCACTGTGTGGGCGTCGCCTCCTCATGTTTACTCCATCAGAGAACACACACACACACACACACACACACACACACACACACACACACACACACACACACACACACACACACACACACACACACACACACACACACACACACAACACACACACACACACACACACACACACACACACACACACACACACACACACACACACACACACACACACACACACACACACACACACACACACACACACACACACACACACACACACACATCACACACACACACACACACACACACACACACACACCACACACACACACACACACACACACACACACACACATCACACACACACACACACACACACACACACACACACACACACACACACACACACACACACACACACACACACACACACACACACACACACACACACACACACACACACACACACACACACACACACTAGTATAGTAGGCCTCACCTGAAGGGCAGGTAGGAGGCGTTGGATCCGGAGATCAGAGCTCTGAAAGCTTCCTCAGGAGTTTTCTTCAGGTAGATCACCTGACACACACACACAGGTAGACAGAGACTCAACATCAGACTCACCTGGAGCTATGCTAACACTGTTCATGCTACATGGTGAATGGAACAGACTCTGATTTCATTTGAGCTGCTGTTCATAAGAAGCTTCACACATACATGAGGCGATCTAATCAATGACTTATGAACTCATTTCAGATCAGATCAACAGCTGAGATGTGAAAACATGAATCTAAAAAGGGTGAGCTAACGTCTTTTTATCAGATGCTAAAGTTACTTCATCGGGTGTTAACCCTACTTTCATGGTGATAACATTATCTTATCAGGTGCTATTGTTTCTTTTCTTTCACGTTACTTTCATGTTTGCTAAGGTTACTCAGTGAAATGATAATGTGTTGCTCCCAGCAGGAGAAAGTCCGCTCAGAAATGTCAAAACTTTGCTCAGAAAAAATGTCACTACGTTTCAAAGAGACAGCTTGAAACACGTTGATAGACCCGATTGTTGTTTTACTCTCAGTTCAGTCTGTACCATTTCTATTAAGTTAGTCCTCGTGTCCTTCAATGTGTCAGTAGGTCTGATTGTATCACCGTCCAGAGCCTCAACACCATCAAATATTTACACTCTAAACACACAGCAGGAGAGTGTGTGTGTGTGTGTGTGTGTGTGTGTGTGTGTGTGTGTGTGTGTGTGTGTGTGTGTGTGTGTGTGTGTGTGTGTGTGTGTGTGTGTGTGTGTGTGTGTGTGTGTGTGTGTGTATGTGTGTGTGTGTGTGTGTGTGTGTCTCTCTCTCTCCCTCTCTGTCTCTCTGTCTCTCTGTCTGTGTGTGTGTCTCTCTGTCTGTGTGTGTGTGTGTGTGTGTCTGTGTCTGTGTGTGTGTGTGTGTGTGTGTGTGTGTCTATCTGTGTGTGTGTGTGTGTGTCTGTGTGTGTGTAACATATCTGTTCTACCTGATCTATCTATAGACTGCTGTGATGGAGATAATTAACACATGCTGTCAAAATGTAGCGTCAGCGTAACGTTTAAACTGTAATTGAACACAACATGTCGATGACACATTCTGCATCTCAGTAATATCAAATAACAAATTTGGATCAAAGATTTTGAAATTCATTTTTGCTCTATCCCTAATTCAAAATAGGACATCTACCTTTTTGGAGCGATGATTCCCATGATGCTTTGAGGGATCAGGTGTGGCTCATATTTGGAAGAAACACATTGGGGGAAGTCTAGGAAGTTCTATGTTTGAAAGTGGGTTTATGATTCATTGTAATGGCGTGACTCACAGCGTAGCCTGCGATCAGCACGGCGGCGTTGGATCTCTTCCTCTGGTCGAAGCTGGTGTAGTGAACGATCCTCTTCCTCGTCAGAGTGAACGACTGCAGAGAGGAGGAAGAGACGTCACATGATTGAAACATATTTTATATTAAGGGTTGATATGAAAAGTGTTGACAGTAAACACAGACACACATTATGACGTTGCATGTTGTTTAGTCCTTAAAGGTGGGGTAGGTAAGTTTGAGAAACCGGCTCGAGATACACTTTTTGTTATATTCCATGGAATGCTCTTAACATCCCGATAGCAATGAATATCTGAAGTGCTTTGACAAAAAATCCATAAAAAAATATCATCTGTGGAAGCTGTAGTACTGTAAAAAGCACGACCAATCATCTGAGCCGGCCCGGCTAAAATAACTGGATGGCCTACCTGCCTGTCAGCCTTCCATCGGGGCACAAACTTATCTCGTGCCCTCATTGGTCATGTGCGCGTTCGTGTGTGTTGGAGGAGGGGCTCTGTGAGGAAGTGGCAGATTTTCTCCGGTTGTGTATTTTCAAATTCTAGCGATCTCGAGCTGGTTTCTCCAAAATTACCTACCCTACTTTAAGGGAAGATAAAATGTGTATACAAAGTAAATAAAAAAAAATGTATTAAACAAAGAACCTAAAAAATATATTTGATAATAAAAAATAATTTAAAAAAAGTGTTACTCAAAGCTAGGGTAGGTAAGAATGGAGAAACCGGCTCGAGTGCGCTAGAATTTGAAAATACACAACCGGAGAAAATCTGCCACTTCCTCACAGAGCCCCTCCTCCAACACACACGAACGCGCACATGACCAATGAGGGCACGAGATAAGTTTGTGCACAGATGGAAGGCTGACAGGCAGGTAGGCCATCCAGTTATTTTAGCCGGGCCGGCTCAGATGATTGGTCGTGCTTTTTACAGTACTACAGCTTCCACAGATTACATTTCTTTATGGATTTTTTATCAAAGCACTTCAGATATTCATTGCTATCTGGATGTTAAGAGCATTCCATGGAATATAACAAGTGTTTCTGAAGTGAATTACCTACCCTACAATGACTGTCAGTCTGCAGATTAGATCAGAGAAGATTGAAAACCTTCTCCCCAATCTGTCTGCAGATAGAAAACTGCACTGAGTGCTTTCTATAAATCTCTGAACCAGCAAATATAACTTTATCCAGCTTAGCAGAACTAGCCTGCATGCTAACAACATTACGCAACAGCATCTACGTTTTAAGATAAGCTAAGATGTACTTTATTGATCCCAATTTGGGAATTGTTTTAGTCAATTTGGGACATTTTAGAAGCTGCTGCTGCAACAGGATGCCACCTAGCACGGCACCACCACATTAAGGGCAACTGAACTGCATCTGATGGGGAACATCTGAAATATCAAACAACATTTTATAGACGTGACAACGATTGATTATTGAAACGATATAAATAAGTGTTGGTAATAAACGGAGACATGTGAGAGGCCTCGGGTATCTGCAGATTCTCACACTGAACTGTGAAACTGCCATCAGCGCTGACCCGACAGGAAGGAGCTCTACGCCAGGGAAGGAGTTTCAAATTAAAAAGACATTTCATGTGTTGAATCCTCAAATGAACTTCAGACTGTTAACCCTTAGATGCCCGAGTGACTGGACCCTACACTCTTCCATAAGTGGGTCAAAAAGGACCCATATTAGAATAATGTGTTTTTATTTTGTCATTTTGGTTAAGAAAAATCACTTATAATATTTAGTATTATATTTTGGTTCACACTAGAAATATTTTATATTAAACTTTTCACTATTTATAATTTTAGACATTTTTTTTACATTTTGAAAAAACCCGTTTTGAACATATTGATGCAAAGGTCTCCGCTATTCTGAGACCCTCACAGTATTCCAGTCCCTTTTCAAAACTCATCTCTTCTCCTCTTGTCTACTCATAGCCCACCCCCCCCATCAATCCATGCCGGTTGATCAAGTTTGATAGTCCTATACCCCCCACCCTAACCTTCCCTTATATTGTAAAGCGATTTTGAGTCCTTGAAAAGCCCTATACAAATATAATGTATTATTATTATTATTATACTGACAGGTTTCAGATCTTGCTGTGTAAAATAATCTTCCTGAGAGGTGTCACTTGTGATGTCGTCTGTGTGCTCCACAGTGAATGTATTCCTGACAGCAACAGGTGATAAGAATCAAAGGTTCCCATAGGATCCCATAGGAAATGCATGCGGGTCATTTTTGACCCACTTATGGAAGCTTGGTGTAGAAATACAAAAACTACAATTTCTTAAAATGTAAATTTAAAATGTGAATGGCATGATATCCAAAACATGTTTTTTGAGGAATAGCTGGAATATGAAATGATTAAAAAATGTGATTACAAAGATACTTCAAGAAAACCACCTCACCGGGTCAAAAGATACCCACTTATGCATCTAAGGGTTAAAGAAGATTGGATTTGTTGCCCTCCATCTTTTACAGTTTAGTCTCTTGATGGTGTTAAAGTTAAGAGTCCTAATCCTCTTGAAGCACTTTATGATATTCTGATGACTATAAATAAAGATACTTCAATTAGTTTTAGTTTAAATGTCTGAATAATATTCCATCAGAGGTCTGACAGCATTTTAAATATAAACCCAGTTGCAGATTTAAGGTGTTCATCACATCATCATAATGTCCCATGATGCTTTGTGTCTCAGGTGTTTTCACTGAGGAATGTCATCGCTACGGCAACAGAAACCAAACAAAACAAAACAAAGAAACGGTCCAAATAACAAGGATGACAGCGAATCAGCTGTGTGTCTAACAGGGTGATTGATCAGTGTCTAACAGGGTGATTGATCAGTGTCTAACAGGGTGATTGATCAGTGTCTAACAGGGTGATTGATCAGTGTGTGACAGGGTGATTGATCAGTGTCTAACAGGGTGATTGATCAGTGTCTAACAGGGTGATTGATCAGTGTGTGACAGGGTGACTGATCAGTGTGTGACAGGGTGACTGATCAGTGTCTAACAGGGTGATTGATCAGTGTGTGACAGGGTGATTGATCAGTGTGTGACAGGGTGATTGATCAGTGTCTAACAGGGTGATTGATCAGTGTCTAACAGGGTGATTGATCAGTGTGTGACAGGGTGATTGATCAGTGTGTGACAGGGTGACTGATCAGTGTGTGACAGGGTGATTGATCAGTGTGTGACCGGGTGATTGATCAGTGTGTGACAGGGTGATTGATCAGTGTGTGACAGGGTGAATGATCAGTGTGTGACAGGGTGACTGATCAGTGTGTGACAGGGTGACTGATCAGTGTGTGACAGGGTGAATGATCAGTGTGTGACAGGGTGATTGATCAGTGTGTGACAGGGTGACTGATCAGTGTGTGACAGGGTGATTGATCAGTGTGTGACAGGGTGACTGATCAGTGTGTGACAGGGTGACTGATCAGTGTGTGACAGGGTGATTGATCAGTGTGTGACAGGGTGACTGATCAGTGTGTGACAGGGTGACTGATCAGTGTGTGACAGGGTGATTGATCAGTGTGTGACAGGGTGACTGATCAGTGTGTGACAGGGTGACTGATCAGTGTGTGACAGGGTGATTGATCAGTGTGTGACAGGGTGACTGATCAGTGTGTGACAGGGTGACTGATCAGTGTGTGACAGGGTGATTGATCAGTGTGTGACAGGGTGACTGATCAGTGTGTGACAGGGTGACTGATCAGTGTGTGACAGGGTGATTGATCAGTGTGTGACAGGGTGACTGATCAGTGTGTGACAGGGTGATTGATCAGTGTGTGACAGGGTGACTGATCAGTGCGTGACAGGGTGACTGATCAGTGTGTGACAGGGTGACTGATCAGTGTGTGACAGGGTGATTGATCAGTGTCTAACAGGGTGATTGATCAGTGTGTGACAGGGTGACTGATCAGTGTGTGACAGGGTGACTGATCAGTGTGTGACAGGGTGATTGATCAGTGTGTGACAGGGTGACTGATCAGTGTGTGACAGGGTGATTGATCAGTGTGTGACAGGGTGACTGATCATTGTGTGACAGGGTGACTGATCAGTGTCTAACAGGGTGATTGATCAGTGTGTGACAGGGTGACTGATCAGTGTGTGACAGGGTGACTGATCAGTGTGTGACAGGGTGATTGATCAGTGTGTGACAGGGTGACTGATCAGTGTGTGACAGGGTGATTGATCAGTGTGTGACAGGGTGACTGATCATTGTGTGACAGGGTGATTGATCAGTGTGTGACAGGGTGACTGATCAGTGTGTGACAGGGTGACTGATCAGTGTGTGACAGGGTGATTGATCAGTGTGTGACAGGGTGACTGATCAGTGTGTGACAGGGTGACTGATCAGTGTGTGACAGGGTGACTGATCAGTGTGTGACAGGGTGACTGATCAGTGTGTGACAGGGTGATTGATCAGTGTGTGACAGGGTGACTGATCAGTGTGTGACAGGGTGATTGATCAGTGTGTGACAGGGTGACTGATCAGTGTCTAACAGGGTGATTGATCAGTGTGTGACAGGGTGACTGATCAGTGTCTAACAGGGTGAATGATCAGTGTGTGACAGGGTGATTGATCAGTGTGTGACAGGGTGATTGATCAGTGTGTGACAGGGTGATTGATCAGTGTGTGACAGGGTGACTGATCAGTGTGTGACAGGGTGACTGATCAGTGTGTGACAGGGTGATTGATCAGTGTGTGACAGGGTGATTGATCAGTGTGTGACAGGGTGACTGATCAGTGTGTGACAGGGTGATTGATCAGTGTGTGACAGGGTGACTGATCAGTGTGTGACAGGGTGATTGATCAGTGTGTGACAGGGTGATTGATCAGTGTGTGACAGGGTGACTGATCAGTGTGTGACAGGGTGATTGATCAGTGTGTGACAGGGTGACTGATCAGTGTGTGACAGGGTGACTGATCAGTGTGTGACAGGGTGACTGATCAGTGTGTGACAGGGTGACTGATCAGTGTCTAACAGGGTGACTGATCAGTGTCTAACAGGGTGAATGATCAGTGTGTGACAGGGTGATTGATCAGTGTGTGACAGGGTGACTGATCAGTGTGTGACAGGGTGACTGATCAGTGTGTGACAGGGTGACTGATCAGTGTGTGACAGGGTGATTGATCAGTGTGTGACAGGGTGAATGATCAGTGTGTGACAGGGTGACTGATCAGTGTGTGACAGGGTGATTGATCAGTGTGTGACAGGGTGATTGATCAGTGTGTGACAGGGGGATTGATCAGTGTGTAGACCAGGTGAATGACATTCCTGTGTGATTGTCAGCAGGAACTCACCTTCAGCTTCTTGTTCAGTTTGCAGCAGTATCGGTACAGCATGGCCAGATTCAGAGGGCCGAAGTCTGCGTAGAAACTGAGACAGAAAGCAGCAAAAATAAGTCTCAGGTAAGTTTGGTTGACTCTTTACTTAAACAAAAGGGATCAGTACAAACACATATTTTTAAAGGTCAAAAAACGATATTGCTCCGTGATTCTTTTCTCCTTCTAATTACCAGCAGCTGCAGTCGGCTATGACGTCAATTTTACAACAGCTGATTTAAATAAATAATATAATAATACTAATAACAAAGAAATACAATGATATATACACATAATAGTTCAAATGATACACGTTAACATATGGCTCCTACAGGCCCCTTTCAGGTGTATTTTAGTATTTAGCGTCTCTACTATGACATGTTTCCATGCTTTAATGCTCAAAAAGCTGGGAGTGTATGGGATTTTAGCCTCTGCAGACCATTGACATGCACACAAACCTATATAACACACTACAGGAGAGGGAACACCTCAAAAAGCTGAATATGTCCTGCTTATTAAAGTCTCTCTAGTCTCTCTAGTCCAACAGGAGCTACAGGTCCGGTTGAAATATGTCATCCGTCTCCACTCCCTAGTTGAGATTAGTCCTGACCTCATACTGGCTAAAAAGAAATGTAGAGACCGCCCCGCCCACACCCAAAACAAAGAATCTCATTCACTTTGTCTGACGTGTAGTTTTCATCAGCTGCTAAACAATAGAAACATCCATACAGCAGCTGAGTGTTGGGATGAAGAACCCTTAAAGCTGGGCGAGTGACAAAGATTCATTTCATATGATATGTGTATTTTATATTCTAGACAGAAACAGGTTAAGAAGTTTGTGCTCATCAACAACTTAAGTGAGCAGTGCAACAACAATAACATGCACATTTTTCAGAGTAAAAGATTTAGTCCACAGGGTTTTTTATTTGAAACAAAAAGTTGATTTAAGATTGTATACTTACTTTTAATAATGTCTGACACATTTTACAGATAAGAGATATTACAACTGTAGTAATGTTGCCAATGAACCGTTAAAATTATAGTAAAGAATAAATAAATATGCTATGCACACACACACACAGTAGGGCTGCTCAATTAATCGTATTTTAATCGCAATTACGATTTTGGCTTGCAACGATTATGAAAACAACATAATGGAAATAAAACAATTATTTATTTATTTTAATTAATTTTGTATTAATATATTTTTTTTTGTATTGGTTTTTCAGTTGAATTATGCTTAAAGTTCAGGGTAATCAACTGTTAAAAACATACTGTTCACATTTTTTTTTAAATAAATGGATGTTTTCAAAGTAAATGGATAATCGTTTTTAATAATCGTGATATCAATTATTGACCCAAATAATCGAGATTATGATTTTTGCCATAATCGAGCAGCCCTACCACAAAGTATATAGCACATAACATGCATATAAAAAGTAATGTGATATATAAACATATAAACTTACTTTTCGTAGACAAACTCGTCATCGGTGCAGAAGTAGTGAGTGTTCGCCGTACTCTTGGGTTTACTGCGTAACGTGGCGAAGTACAGACGCTCTGCAGGACACACACACACACACACACACACACACACACACACACACACACACACACACACACACACACACACACACACACACACACACACACACACACACACACACACACACACACACACACACACACACACACACCACACACACACACACACACACACACACACACATCACACACACACACACACACACACACACACACACACACACACACACACACACACACACACACACACACACACACCACACACACACACACACACACACACACACACACACACACACACACACACACACACACACACACACACACACACACACACACACACACAACACACACACACAGCACACACACACACACACACAACGTTTCTTTCATAAGGCTATAAATACAATACTTTAATTATTGGAACAGACGCTTTGAAAAACAAACAACCCAATCAAATGTATTTGTTAGAAGTACATGTTGAACATCGACAGATATCCACTGTCGCACCCTCAGAAACTGCTCTTGTTGTCCTCAGTTTGATCTTTATGGTTTATTGCACGTATTGTACGTCGCTTTGGATAAAAGAATCAGCTTAATAAAATGTGGTTATTTGAATAATAATGGAAGTTTGGGGAGACTTTAAAACTCTGAAACCCTGACCCTAAAAAGGGTATATCCATTTTTTTTAAAACATAAAAATAATGAAACGTGAAGGTGTCTAATCAGGAGCAATAGTAAATAATATACAGGACAGTGACCTTTATACAACACACAGTATTCAGTGTCAGAGTCTCAGGAGGGCACACCTGTATTTATATCCCTGATAGGTTATGTCACGCCAAATGAAATAACAACGCTATGTATTTCTCATGAAACACAAAACAAAACGTATTTGAAATCTTGATGATTTGACAAAGCAACATTTAAAGCAGGCAGGTCACAACATTTAACATTATTTTTTAAATATGTACATCGTTATAAAGACAATATGGTTGCAATAAAACCCCACTGCACACCGGGAGCATCATAATTAATATAATGACCTGATTGATTACCGATCATAGAGAGACTGTGTATTTATTTACACAGACAGTTACCATGGTGATCCTGATCAACCAAACTACCTGATCTACCTGGACATTTTTTTACTTTACACTATTATAGGTAAATGTACCCGTTTTGTTCATACAGTACAATCTCTGCCAATATAAAAAGCATTATTATGTATATTTAAAAGTCTGTCACCATTACATTTTTATCTTAAAGCACTTTGAATTGCCTTGTGTTGAAAGGTGCAATATAAATAAACTTACCTTAAATAAATAAAGTAGTTTAAAGAATGTGTACTTTAATTGAACAGTGTATTTGTATCTTCAATAAGCTCCAGTTGTACTTAAAATAAACTGTATTTGTAGTACCTTTAATAAGCTCTAATTTGTACCTTTTTATTTAAGGAGTAGTTCTCCCTTTAATAAACTCTGATTTAAAGTATGCATACTTGAAATAAACAGTTTATTTGTACCTTCAATAAGCTCCAGCTGTACTTGAAATAAACTGTATTTGTACCTTCAATAAGCTCCAGTTTAAAGTATTTGTACATCTTTTTATAGGTGTTGTTGTACCTTTAATAAGCTTTGATTTAAAGTATACGTACATTAAATAAACTGTGTATTCCCACCTTTAATAAACTCTAGATTAAGTATTTATACATTTGCATTATAGGTGTTGTTGTACCTTTAATAAACTATTTTTTAAAGTATGTTCACCTTTATATAATCAGTGTATGTGTACCTCTAATCGGCTCTCATATAGGCTCTGATTTAAATATGTGTACCTTTAATAAGCTCTGCTCTAAGTCAGGGTACCTTTGATAAACTGCGCGGCTCCCAGCGGCTCGGACTCGTCCGTCCCGCCGAACAGGGCGGACAGGATGGCGGAGTGTCTCACTCCTTCCACCGTCATGGGGCCGTCTAATCCCCGGCCCGATGGGTCCGTCTAATCCCCGGCGGTCTACCTCCAGTAACTTTTCAAACTGCCGTTAGCCGTTAGCAGAGCTAGCAGCGGAGCTAACAGGCAGGTGAACGGAAACTAGTCAAAAGTTGAAATAAACTTTCTCCTCAGTTTCCCATCAGCCCCTGCGGCCCTTTTTTGCTCACATAAGAACCCTTCTACCGTTCCCGTCACGGCTTTCTCCACTTTTCACCGGTGAATATCCCCGGTTTAGCATGTTAGCACTGCTTCACGACGCTCTGAGTCTGAAACTCTGATTGAGCAAATCCCTCTTTAAGACACGTAACTATGGCAACGAAAGCCGCTCCCATGGCAACGGCAGCCAATCATCAATGAGGACGCGCTGTGATGCCTTCAGGGTCCGCTGGGAGATTCACACACACGACGAGGCTTTCACTTACCGAGCGATTTAGTATTTGGATGTTATGATCCTTTTTTCACGTTATAAAGGAATCGTTCATACATTTTTACGGTTTGTAAATGTAGATAATGTAGATCGACACTGTCAATCACCCCATTCTGATTGACAAGCTAAAAGCAATTGGTTTTGATAAACTATCGGTGAGCTGGATGCAATCCTACCTGGAGGGGAGAGAACAGATGGTGGAGGTAAACGGTACTCTGTCCCCCCCCCTCCCAGTGAGCTGTGGTGTTCCACAAGGAAGCATATTAGGTCCGTTACTGTTCCTAATTTATGCAAATGACATGTCATCAGCATGTGACTGCAACTTGTTCCTGTTCGCGGACGACTCAGCCCTGCTGGTCTCTGACAGGAGCAGATTGCAGGTTGAAAAAACCCTCAGCTCCGAGCTCGGCAGAATCTGCACCTGGCTCGCCGATAATAAATTATCATTACACCTGGGTAAAACAGAGTCCATTCTCTTCGGTTCGAAACATAATCTCAGCAAATCCGACGACTTCTCAGTTGCAGTGGGTGACATTATTGTCACAAGTAAGAAGGAAATTACATACCTAGGATCTATTCTTGAGGCAAACCTCTCCTGTGACAAAATGGCATCCAATGTAATAAAAAAAGTCAATCAAAGAACTAGATTCCTATACCGGATCTCCTCTCTGGTAAACAAAAACACCCTGAAAACTCTGGCAGGAGCACTCATTCAAGGGTACTATGACTATGCTTGCACGTCATGGTACCATAGCACCTCCAAGGCGCTAAAAATAAAACTTCAAACATCGCAAAATAAACTGGTCAGACTACTGCTTGACCTTTCATCTAGAACCCACCTCACCTCTGCCCACTTTGACAACCTAGGATGGCTTAGAGTAGACGACAGAGTACAGCTACTTGCAATGGGCCTGGTCTACAAGATCCACTACACCTCTATGGTACCCATGTACATGTCAAAATTCTTCCCAAAGGTCAAGGAATACCATGATCATAACACCAGAGGGAGCTCCACAAATCATGTAAAACCCAGATTTGGCACAAAAAAAGGGGAATACACATATCGCAATTATGCCACATCAAGGTGGAACGCTCTTCCCACAACTGTAAAGGAAAGTAAAACTATACTTACCTTCAAAACCTCTCTTAAAGAGCACCTTCGGGGGAAAGCATTGCAAAACTGGCCCCGGTAATGGTACAAATCTCAACCTGTCGTACAATGGACAGCTTCCCCCCCCCATCTATGTATATACTCGCATTTTAGACTCTGTTACTAACTGTATATCTGTAGACTTGGTATGTCTTAAATGTCCGGTTAGGATGTATTAGAACGAAATCTAAAATGAAAATTGTAAATAAGCCATCTGTATGTAAAAAACCACCTGTATGTAAATTGTAAATAAGCCATCTGTATGTAAAAAAACCACCTGTATGTAAATTGTAAATAAGCCATCTGTATGTAAAAAACCACCTGTATGTAAATTGTAAATAAGCCATCTGTATGTCAAATATGTCTTATATGTCTTAAATGATATGATGAATTGGAAATGGGGGGACCCTGATGTAAACAAGACGAAAGTCTTTCTCTGGTCTGCATCCCCTTAACAATTGTATGTTTTGAGCTGTACTGTACTGTACCCAATATACAAGCTGTTAATAAACTTTTCAATCAATCAATCAATATATTATCCTTATGTATTTCCATTTTGGGAGAGTCTCCATCCTCCAGGGAGAAATATATTTAGTTATTGTTTACATTCATAATTCAGATTTGACATTTGAGTTAAAATCAGAGAGTCTTGAAGATCCACCAATACTAGTTTGACTCTGAATATTTACTATTAATAATAATAAATATTATACCGTTACACCTAAATAATAATTGTAACCCTAAAACAAGAGAAATATACATTTTAACAAAACGATTCAGGACTTATATTTTGCTGTCACCTGGTCCTATACCTGTGCCAAAAAGTACACTATGGAAGCCCATAGTGTACTTCCACAATAGCATTTCTTTACATACATATCTGGTACAATCGAAACAAAAATGGAGAAATCCGATATATATTTGCACATACTTTTGTATTTGGAGTTTGTATTTTCATGGCTGATTGCACTCTTTTTAACTCTTTACGTAATGTGAGATGAAAGTGTATGCAATTTGGTGCTTTCCAGTGGAAGATATTCAGATAACTTTATTAAGGTCAATGGTCTGTTGGTAACAGCTGGAATAACCTCACCTGCAATTTTGGGCTGTTTTACAATTGTCTGTGTTTAATTTTGTCTTAATGTACATTATTTAATTTCATATTCTGTTCTTTTACATATCATATTCTATTTACATGTATATAGACTTCTTGCACTACTGTTTATTTTTGTATTTTTGTATTTTATTATATATGTTGCATTGTTGGAGGAGCTCAGGTCAGAAGAATTTCATTGCCATGTCTACTCTGTAGCTGCTGAGCATCTGATGATATACCTTTGAGTCTTCCCCTGCAGAGCATCAGTAATGTTGCTCTGTTTATGTCTGCATCTCACCTGCGATCAGAGAGATCCACACACGGTTTGGTCCAGGTCCAGGTCCAGGTCCAGGTCCATGTCCAGGTCCAGGTACAGGTACAGGTACAGGTCCAGGTCCAGGTCCAGGCCCAGGTACAGGTCCATGTTGGAGGATTCGGGGCCCGTCCTGGTGTTTCCTCCAGGCCCCGGCGTCCGCCATGCTGCAGGGCGGTGTGCAGACTGAGGGAGGTGGTGTCAGGTGACCCGGGTCAGGTGTCTCCGGGTCCAGAGGGGAACCAGGTGTGAGTTTACAGCCTCAGGTTTCAACACACAGGTCTGAGACTCCCTGCTGTACGCACTGTACATCAGGTGAGAGGGCTCTGACACGGAGACGTCACGGAAACAAAACCCGGGGACACAGGAAGTCCAGAACAAAACAAACTACAATACCCAGAATCCAACACCAGAGAGATGTGTGTTTATTTTGTTTATTTTAGTGAGTGCCAGATGTGTTGCTGCTCCAAAGCACATTATTTGAAACCACTTAAAGGTCCCCTATTATCCTGTTTCTCATCAATATATTCCAGGTCTCAGATATATCCAGAGCCTGTCTCTGATTGGCTGAAACACCAAACAGATCATTGCAGCATTACCCATAATCCCCTCTGTTTCAGCCCTGTTTCCAAAGTGCTGATTCTCTGTCTGTTACTTTAGATGAAAATAAGGAGCCCCTCCCCACGCCCCTCTGAAGCCCCTTTCACACCGGCGCTTTTCCAGCTCCTGCTGGGAGCTAGAGCCTGAAAAGCGCCGGTTTTTCCTGTTCACACCGCAGCGGCGGCGCGTCATAGCTCCGGAATGCGGTTCACTTCCAGCTCCAAAAAGTTGTCGGTCCAGAGGCAAGAGCTTTGGAGCTTTGGAGCTATGACGCGGCGCCGCTTACGTCGAGGCGTGCAGGAAACCTTACTTTGACCATCCGTTCGCTGTTATTGATCATTGTGGAGAGAAGGCAGACGTTTTGTTTGTTATTATAGCAGCTATCGGATGGAATCAATACATGGGCTGTACAGGTTGTCATGTCCGACTATCACAAGTAGAATCATAATGAAAAATACGCCGGTAAAATGTGCCTGTATAAAACGGCTTAGCAAGTAGTCAGTTTAGCTTCGGTTGCTATGCTAACATCACCCATGTTATACCAGAGAAACTTTCATAACAGCGTTGTGATGCCAAACAGCGTCAATTCAGACTGACACACATTCACTTAAGGGTAACTGGGGATATGTATCAGCTGCTTGTGTGACAGTCAGACAGTGAATACTTTAGAGCCGCTAACGGGAGAATAAACTCCCGTTGAAGAGCAGCCAGCACTGTAGCGGTCGGTAAATGCCGCTGAAACACATTAATAAACAATGAACCACGGCACTCTGGAGAAAAGTATAAGGTTGGAGAAGCCGTTATTTAATTTAATCTGGCTTCGTATGATTAAAAGCAACACGATCGTCGACCCGACTCAGTCCCCCGGCCCGTTGTTGTTGTGGGAGAAATCTCTCGGCAGCTCTGGGCGGTGTGAACAGAGCGGGAGCTGAAAAGGGAAACCGGAGCTGAACCAGAAAAGCTCTCGCTAGGAGCTAGAAAGGGAAAAGCGCTGGTGTGAAAGCCGCATGAGAGAGATTTGGTTACAAAGAACTCAATGGTGCTCTAGGAGGAGATTCAGGTGATAAGGGGGGGTGGGGGGTTACCTTGGTTGCTGATTGGCTAATGGTTACACAAGACAAAACATCGTTATGACATCATCAAGTGGCCAAAATCTGATCAGCTCATTTTCAGACAGGTTTTATAAAAATGGATCAAAAAGAGAGAGAATCTTTGTTCCTGAAACTTTCAGAGTCTCTTTCCACAGAGGGGACACATGTTGATGAAGAGAGACATGAAGAAGAGGGGACACATGTTGATGAAGAAGAGACATGAAGAAGAGGGGACACATGTTGATGAAGAAGAGACATGAAGAAGATGGGACACATGTTGATGAAGAAGAGACATGAAGAAGAGGGGACACATGTTGATGTAGAAGAGACATGAAGAAGAGGGGACACATGTTGATGTAGAAGAGACATGAAGAAGATGGGACACATGTTGATGAAGAAGAGACATGAAGAAGAGGGGACACATGTTGATGTAGAAGAGACATGAAGAAGAGGGGACACATGTTGATGAAGAAGAGACATGAAGAGGAGGGGACACATGGTGATGTAGAAGAGACATGAAGAGGAGGGGACACATGTTGATGAAGAAGAGACATGAAGAAGAGGGGACACATGTTGATGAAGAAGA